TTTCCCTCATACTCTATTGAGACACAGCGCAGTGAAAATTGGATTCACATGTAATGCTTGAAAACATGTCAGAAAAAATAAATTAAGTGAAATTCTACGTGACTTCATAATAGTTGGAAATGAACACATTACACCCGACCCTACCACTCTATATACAATGTAAACTACACCCCAAAACATCCTTTCACCCACAGTTACTACCGTGTTTCACCAGTGTATTCTATTTGACGTCAGGAGAAATTGAAATAAACAAATTAATTATAATTTCAGCCTCTAGTTGACCACTGATTAAATAAACTACCTCGTCTTTATGTCAACTTGCAGTTATTCGTTGCCTACACCAGTGACTTCAAAATATATGTTTCAATCCCAGGAATTTCACTCGCTGTTAATTGCATGGGAGTGGCAGTCTTTAATGAATTTCTATTGTCATGTCAATTTCTTGCGATTACTCAAACATTAAGCTGTAACCACATACCGCCTAGGTGCTGTAATTAAATCCTGGTGTAAGCACCATATGAACTATGAACAATGCATGTGAAGCCAGCTGTGGGGTATATTCAATCCTATAGATTTCTCATTGTTTGGTAACTATTTGCTGCAAATGCAACAAAAATCAATATAAAAAATATTACCCACACAGTATTCTACAGGTTACTTGTACTATGTATATATTGCAATCACTAAATGGGCGTGGTCATTTTTTCCCACAACACATGCACAAAACAAACAATACAGAATAATCTTTTGAATAGACATCATGGAAGAGTGAAAGGTCTTAATTTGGTTCTAAAATAGGCGTCACAAAATGTTGAAAAATTACAGTCAATCGAAAAAACACATGATAAAAAAAATACTCAGTATATTTAATGTAATATGCATTTATATTTTTAATTTAACGGAAAATATATTCTAAAAGAAGTTTCAAATAAAAACAAACAAGAATGCATTGCTTAGTAGCAAATGATCACAGTATGGTAGCGCAATCCAGTCATGCTGCATTTCACAAGTGAATAACTTACTTGTTTTCGTAGTGTTAAAATTATTCATTATTACTCAGTAGTGATTATAATAATGTACGAAAAATAAATTCGCTGAATGCAAGTAAAATTCAGCTTAGTTTCACTGTATGCAAATGATTTTGGTCACATGTAAATGCTCGATGCAATACGATACGATATCCGCCATGTTTTTTTCCGATGCACACAAGACCTGGAACTGTGTTTATTGACCGCATAAGTCAAATTGCTAATTAACCAATCAAAATGCTGGATGGTGCCAACGTTTTCAAATTACCATAGCTCATTTAAATATGTTAATGACAGTTCAGATTTACTGATGTTGAAGTGCGACGGCATGAAATTAGTTGTTTTCAAAAGACAAACTGAGAATTGAAGAAGAATTTAATACTTTTACAGTGATAACAGCTCATTGTTGAAAACTTTCGAAACACTGACATATTCATAAGGTGTATTGACAAAGGTTGCCGCCAGAACAAAAGCACTGCGTGTCTGACATCTTATTACCGCTGAGCAATAAATAGGTGTAAATATTTTTTTAGACACATGGTCGAAACAATTGAATAGGATTAGAAACAATGTCATTTTGGACCAGAATGTTGACACAATGAAGTCAGTCACGGTCTTGTTGAATTGGGGGTGTGGTTAGTAATAGGTACTTTTCATGTTTTCAATCTTTGTTAAGAACTCTTTAACCCTGAAGCCAGAATTGAGGGTGCAGTAACTATTACATATGCGGTTCATATTTAGATTTTTACGGTACTCATTAATTATGCACATATCATTGAGAAAATAAGGTAAACCAGACTAGGGTAGATGATTTTCAGTACCGAAGGTCTTCTTGGAATCATGAATTTCCAACTGTTCATTGACCGGCTGCCAAATATTTACGGCAACAACTAAACATGACACTATTTTTTCTGAAGCCCAATAAATGATTTATGAATGTCAAGCTCTGTTCTATTTTTCAAATCATGTGTCCCGTTTTTACTATCACAGAGGGACTGGCTTTGGCATCGTTGTTTTTGGAATAAAAACCACATCAACATTTTCCTCGCTTCTATGCTCTCTCTTTGTTCAAAGGCGTCAGCATTGCCCTTTTCGTGTAACTGTTTCGATAATCATTACTGAAAGGAGTGAGTGGCCCTAGATATAAGCAGAACACAGTCCGCTCTATCAGCTAAATTCACATAGACTAATTTTCTTTGAAACTGTTTGTTTCTCTTACTTTGTTCACAGTAACACTTCTATCACAATTCCATGGGGTTGATGTACTAAAATGAATGGGTTCAATTATCAGTGCTCACTGATGATGTCATTGAATGGCCCTCTAGAGACGAAATAACGCCATGCAAAATTGACGTTTGTCGTCTACTTCACAGCCCGTTTTATACTCAATATTTAGGGCATTTTGCAGCACATACAAGTTGTTTTTATCACCAGAATTCATTAACAGATTTCAAATTTCATGTACGGAGTGACAAAAGCCAGACCTCTGCTCCCCTTTAATAACCTAGTAATTACTAGCATCACACAAAAATAACAAATTCCCAGAATGTTGGATGTATGATAACAGTCAATAAATAACCAGTCTATGAGGAAAAAAACTAATTATCAAGTATGATGAAATAACACATTTACTCAGAATTTAATAGCTGGATATAAAATAATTGAAGTATACCATAATATATTACCCATTATTGATTCTGTTGATATTTACTCTTCATGTAATTACATCGTAAACCAATACTTGGAATTTGCAATCAATAACACATTATAGGATCTGTATATGCTGCCCATAATATATCTAATTGGTGTAGCATCCAATTAATTTTAAAATTACATGAGTGAAAATTTACTAAAAACTGATAGTCCTATTCGATGTGGGACTCGAAGCATCATACACATCACATGTAAAATACATTGTTTGTTTACATGAAATGTTAACACACACTGAACGACCGTTATTTAAGAACACTGACAAGGATAAAATTCACAAAACTCATGCAAGGTGGTTGACAATATATAAACCACATAGTAGATTTTCAAAATAATTTTTTTTTTTATTATTTCCACGAAGCTTATTTACAGCTACAGTACAGTTTTTGCGGAAGCTTTGGCTTTTGTGGCATCATTGTTGCCTAAGCATGGCCTCATTGTTGCCTCAGCATCGCATCATTGTGGCATCAGCTTCGCGTCATTGAAAATTGAAGCTGTATTCGCCTTGCTTATTCTGTGGTATCATCATGGCCTCAGTTTCGCAGTCTCATGGCATCAGCTTCAAAGTATTGTGACATGAGTATGACACGGAAAGGCAGTAGAGAAAAAACACATGTACAGAATCGATTTGAAATTCAAGGTGGTAAGGGGAATAAAATAATATGACCAAGGGTAAAATGACATTTTAAAAAGATATCTTGTTTAATTATTTAATGTTGCGAGTATTGGGTACCAAAAACTTTGTGAAGTACATTGCAATCTGCAAGGTGACGAGTGTCATATTGACTGCAAGGAAAATCGTGATAAATTTAAATCACACGATGCAATCGTCGTTCGGATACAGCGCAATTTGCTATACAAAATGAAACTGTTCTTGTTATAAAATTACCTTATTTTGTTCATTTTATTTGCTGGTAAGAGAAAAGATTCAGATTCCTCATTTCGGTGGTATTTTTCTGTGTTTCGTTTAGTTTTAGCAGAGTCCGATCCCATGCCCGGACTACTAATACAAGCAAAACACACGTACGCCACCTGGTGCATCGGCGTTGTCGCCTGCCATCTTGATACAAAGTTCCAAAACAAGTGCGTACATTTCTAACTATGATTGGATGGTTGTGGTGGCGTCGGTCTGGTAAAATTTTACATTCAATTTTCAAAATTAAGTCACGATCAGTGACCTAAGCTTGACCTATACGTACAGTATTCTCACAAAAAATATTTTCGAATAAAAACGAGCCACATGCCCTGTAAAAAATTGAATAGCACTTGACATGCAGAAATAATTTATTGGGCTTCAGAAAACAATGTGTCCATTTAGTTGTAGCCGTAAATATTTGGTGACCAGTCGATGAACAATTTGAAACTCACGATACACACGGAAGTCATTCGATACTGAATATCATCGACCCCAATCTGGTTTACCTTATTTCCCAACCTGCAAAACTGATTTGTATCTCAGCGTAGTTTTTTTTCTTCTTTTTTTGAACTGAGGTCAAATCCCAGCCGTTTGTCAAAATATACCGATGTTTTTAGTGAATAATTGTGAAGCACAAACAAACTATTTGAATCGACGCAGGAGATTGGATGGTACAACGACCCTTAAATTAGCGTCAAATATGCTTTGTTACAACATCATTGATTGGCTGAGAGTCACCTGATCGGAGCACACAACCTGGGTCACAGAACCATACTTGTCCGTATTATCAACAGGACTTTGCGAGAGAACCACACCCACACTTTCAACCATTTTAGCGCGGAAGTTGCCAACAAATGTTGAAAAACTCGTGAATTTTATGGATTTGAATAAAATAAAGCTAGCGATTGGTAAGACTGGTTAATAATGTATCCCCCGATGCTCTTCGATTTTTTTAAATTTTATTTCAAGGTGAGAAATGGATAATTGAAGTTCCATTGATTTCAAGGCGACTGTTTCATCGCGACAACTCTATGCCGTGTTGTAGTTTCGCGAGGTAAAACAAAAATATAATAAATAGTACTTGTTTAATTATTTGGTTTTACAGCCCGCAAATTACGGGACATGATCCCCGTGAATTACAATAAATAGATGCTGATTGTGTTGAATGACAGACGTCGGGACCGTTTGGAGAAACCAACGGGGATATTCCAAACAAATTATTGGGACACGATCGGTAGACATTTCAAACAAATGAAATTATTAACGAAAGACGAGATTTTTCCAGATATTTACAAACATACTGTCATACTAAATATATGAAAAACTGACAAATACACAAAGAGATATTAGGTTTTATTTTAGCCTTAGAAATATTTTCTTTCACTCAGTCCATGCATCGGACTTCTATTTAGCTTCATGGTCCTTCGGCTTGTCTTCTCCTTGGGGGAAATAACAATAATTATACAAATCGTAAACTCAACACAGTCAGAAAAAGAAACCCAGACAACCATGTCGTACTTCTGTTGAAATATATTTTGTAGCCGTGCGTCACGTCAGAATAAGTTGTTTAAAATAAAAAAGTCAATCCCAGCCAAATCTAGGTCAAAGGGTCAGATTGCGTGCATATAATTATAGATAGTTAAAACAAAAAGTATTTGAACTTTTGACGGTTGTTCAACATCTATGCACGGTTACTAGTAACCGTGATCTATGAAAACTAGAAAATTGTTAGTCGTCCGAATTTTTGCACAGTCGAAAATAAAGCGGAAATTCAACAAGCGGTCGCAAAAGCGAGCGATTGAAAAGCGGAAGCGGACGAGAGGTTGGGCGAAATGAGCTCTGTACTTCTTTGTTTGATGAAGCAATGCTGATGCCACATTGTCACCATAATGAGGCCACAATGAAGCGAAGCAATGACCGCCTCAACTTTTTATGTCGCGACATTGAAGCGACGCTGAAGCCATAACAATGCCATAATAATGCGATGCTGAAGCGAAGCTGACGCTGAAGTGAAGCCAAAGGTTTCGCGAGAACTGTACTGTAGGACTCAACTATTATTAGTTCTTACCTGTAGCCATACTTGTCTAAACCTCTCACAAAGTGTCTGGGCATTGTACCACAACCATAGTAGTTCCTATCATTCTCAGGTATGTGATCAACATCATGGAAGAGAAAGCAATCCCAGTAATGAAACTTGAGTGACTCTAGGAAGCCAACGTTGAATAACATAGCCCTGTTAAAACTCTCCTGATTAGCCTATGAAAGAACAAGATGATGAAATGACAACACAGGTCAATTTTTAATCAACATGAAGTGTTGACAGCATAGTAAAAAACAGCTGATATTGAACTCTTGAAGCTAGAAAATTTTGCAATGTTTGGTTTTACTATTACATGATACAATCAGGAAATTATGTGAATGTATTTTAAACGTCATTATTTCAAAATGTCCACACAGACATTCAATATAACACAATAATGTCTTGCATTATTTCTCTCAAACGAGCGAAATCTCATGGTTGATCAGTACAAACACAAAACAGCAATTTATGAAATCTAGAGCTCAAATAAATCATCATGATTTAGATTGTAAAAGTTAATTTTCAGCCTTCACACATCTTTCAACTTATTGAGAACCTATACTAGCACTAAATCAACAACCTCGTACAAATTCCAATTTTCAAGCTATGCAAACATACTGAACTACTTTTAGTCAGTATAATGTATTGTAGAAGGCAATGTCACAGTGCATCGTCTCTCTCTCAAAATGAAACACCCACTGTAAAAAAACAAACAAAGATAAGCTCCGTCGTTAGCAATACACATTTCAATTAAAGAACTGAAGATATTATTAGAAAATGAACAATATGTATAGTATCAAAGCAATCGAACTTGAAAATATTCGAAAATATCACTTTTTACCAATAAAGACAAAAATAATCATTAAAACTAAAGAATGGAAGATATCATCATCAAATGAACAAATCTGAGAGAGGTCCACATGTAGTATCTATATATATAATAGCAAAGCAATCAGACTTACAGTTTTCAACAAGAAGTCGAAAATATCACTTTTTACCAAAAATATTCACCAAAATTAGAGAAATGAAGATATCGTCACAAAATGAACAAATCTGAGAGAGGTCCACATGTAATACCTATATTTGTAATTTTAAAGCAATCAAACTTGCGGTTTTTAATAAGAAGTCGAAAATATCACTTTTTACCAAAAATATTCACCAAAATTAGATAATTGAAGATATCATCATGAAATGAACAAAGTCTAAGAGCGGTCTACCCAAGTTACATATACACCAAGTATCAAAGCATGCAGACTTGTAGTTTTCAAGAAGAAGTTGAATCAAAGAAAGCTTAGAAAGAACTCCCGTGTGCTGAGAGTATTGAAGACACATTAAAAATTAATTCAAAATTACTTGTAAATGAGATATTGATAGAAAAGCTGAAAACTAATTATGTACATCAGGTAACTAATATGAACAGAACAGAACAGAACAGAACAAAAAAATTATGAATTATTATGCTAATTAGAGAATCAATATGAACAAATTTTAACCCAAAATTAATTAGGCCTGTCTATTGTCCTAGAGCATTTATGTACCAAATTTTATTCAAATGTGATGATCAGTAATTGAGATATCAGTGTTAATTAATTATGTTAATTAGGAGATTAATAAGCATAAATATTTACCAAAAACTAATTGGGTTTCTGCATAGTTCTCTTTAAAAGTTTCATTAAAATCCAATTTGTGGTTCTTTATATATCAGTGGAACATTATGCAAATTACGTAATTAATATCCAATTAAGTAGCGAGAAAGTTTTGTGACGTTTTTAAATAAAACATTCTCTGTCTGTTGTCTCGTTCAGACAGTAATTTACGTTATATATATCAAAGACTAAGTATAGAGTGCAAGTTCGCACAACTGGACAGACATTGTTTACATAATTATCACGTGACATAAAAAATGGCGAACCTTGTAAAA